GTCACTGTGCAAATTGTTTTACATATGTTATTTCATATAATTATAAGAATAACCCTATGAATTTTACTTAATATTATCTCCCCAATTAAAATGAGTAAACTGAAGCTTAGGTTAAGTAACGTGTCTAAAGCTACACAGTCATTAGCAGGGGTATGACCGACTCCAAAGTCTGTGTTCCTAATTACTGTGCTACTCTACTTTTTAAAAGGGTGTTCTTGAAAGTCCAAGGGAAGGAATGCATAATGGTGTGGTTGAGACATTAGCATTAATATTTGTAGAAAAGGCACTTACCAACAGTCTGAGTAATCACATTTCAACAACTGGTGAGGTTGGCAGGAGCCTCAGTACAACAATGTGAGGAATTGAATCATTATGGTGCCAAATAGAGTATACCATCTTTTTAGTACAATGCTTTTGAAAAGGAGGCTGATTGTCTTGGCTCTGTGTTTGCCTTCTCAGTCACTGAGGGAGTAAATACTAGTTGGAGCTTATGATCCTGGAACATAAAAATGGATGACCTGGCAGGTGTCCTTGCTAAAAGATGATGAAATTGCCGAAAGAAAAGTCCTGGTTTTTATCCTGAGACATGACACTTGCGGGTGTCCATTAAAAACATCACCAAGCCTCTGTCACTTTAATGTCTTCTTTAAGTGCCTGTGATCTTTTCCCAGGCACAGGTCCATGCATGGTAAAGGCAGTGGCCAGGTCTCTGAGCTGTGGGCAGAGATGGCAGCGACTGTGAGGGCTGGGAGGAGATGAGGGGAGGAAAGGTCACTTTTCCTGACAATTTATAACTTGATTCCACTTATAAGCCATTTATTTTCAGAAATAAGTAATGGGTGAGGACATAGGCCAGGTCTACAATTTGTGCACTTGAGAGATTAAGGCTCTCTTGAGATCAAATTACCACAGCAAACAGAGACAGAGTACTGTAGGGATGTTTGGAGACGATGCAGAGAGAAGAGGGAGAAGCCAGAGACCTAAGAAAGGAGACAGGAATAGATTTTGATGGAAATTGCTTCCCACTCCGCAACCTGGAGGGAACAAAGAGGACAAATAAGAAGCGGCAGTGCTAGGAGGAAGCTGGGAGTTTCTGCGGAGTAAAGTTGGTTAGGTCGTGGACTGTCGTGAGTGAATGCGCTTGATGGATGGAAGGAGGGGATGCGCTAGTTCAGTCCTTTGAAATCTGGGTTTCAGTGTCATAACCTTGACTCCTTCAACTGTCCCCTCAAGGAGGGAAGCATGCCAAATGTCAGGTCTTGCTCTGACATCGTTCCAGCCCATAGCTAGAAAATGACCCAAAAGGAAGATTTATCATGAGAGGATGCTGGGAGATGAGGAAGAGAAAGGATATTTCAGGGTTGGGGCAATAGATTTCAAATTCCTGTGGAAGAAATGAGAGGGCCTGGGAAGTGTGAATATTCAGAACAGAGCGGCCAAGGCAATGACACAGCATGAAAGGCTTCCGATACTTCTGCCCTCTCCTTCACTGAAGAGAATGTGTTGTCTGTGTGTTGCATCTGTGGCAATACAACGGGAGTCTTAGGGCACAGAGGCACAGAGCTTACAGAAGATGAGCTGTAGCCATTGAAATTGCTGGCTGTTGTAAGATAAATCCCAGACTCCCACATTTTGCTTAATAACACTTTTTTTTTTAACTGCAAAGCATTAATGGAGTCCGAATTCCAGCCTAGCTTGGGAGATTGAGAGTAACTCTCTTGATTTAATGGTTTTGCAGGCTCTTGAAGACATTGTCATCCATTAAAGACAAAATTTAAAATCACTCTTGAAAGAAAATGTCTTGGGTGATAAATGTAAAAGATTTGCAGCAAGATTAGAAAAAGCTTGAGGGAAGAATCTCTTAAAAATTTTACCAGGTGTTTTCCACTATGATTAAAATGGGCCAAATAAGAGGTTTACCTGCAGCTTCATGAAGCCTATTTTTGAAAAAGAGAAATTTAAAGTTTAAATTATTGGTTATTTGCCAAGACATACACTGAAAGTAAGGGCCACTTGTCTGGTAACAGAATTGAGTGCTGGATCTCAGGATGCTAGTTTTAGGCTTGCTTCCCCGGAAGGAGGATGGCATTTGTCACCCCACCCCCACTCCCTTCCTTTTGCCCTTTTGCCCTAGTTCAATACTTTCTACAGTACCTAAGAGTGTTCCAGGGAAGATGCGGGGGTCAGGTGAATAAAGAGTCTCCACGGGCAATAACCCCAGAGCGCCTCCTCTGCGTTTGTTCCCTTTGAATGGTAGAGCCGCCGCCCAGGTGCCCATACTTAGCTAAAGCCTCTCCGTTTATTTTCCTGAATTGCGCTTGGAAATCTTTTCCTGGGGAGCTGAAAGCCGGAGTTCTAGGGACTTAACTGCTTTTCCCAGACTAATCTCCTTACAAGACCCGTTAAGCAGGCGAGAGACCGTGGAAACTGGATGAACAGGGCGGTGGGGGCAGGGAGAAAGGGAGTGGCAGTGTCCCCGCGGTCTGCTGGGATCGGCGGGTTCAGGGTGACGATGGGGCTGGAGGGGCTGGAGCGGCTGAGCAGTCCGAGGTCGCGGTCCGCCACTTCGGTGCGGAATCCGAGCCTGACATGCTGAGCACTCTCCCCCCTCCCCCTTTCCTTCTGCTTCCTTTTCCCTCCCCCTGGAGCAGCAGCGGCAGCAGTGGCAGCAGAAAGCCCAGCCGGACTGAGCGGCTCTGAGGCGAGCGGAGGAGCTGGGATATGGGGAGTCAGCGAGGGCGGCGGGGCCAGGAGCCCCCGGAAGGGCCTACGACGGGAGCGGCCCCCAGCGTTTGCTAGCGCGTGAGCCATGGGGGAGCGGGCGCAGGGTGGCACGAGCGGAGGCGCAGGCGGGGCCCGGGCGTGGAGCACGGCTGGGGAATCTGCTGCCGCCTGCCCTGCCCGGCTGCCTCCGCCGCGGCCGATGGCTATGGAGCAGGCGGGCACCAGACCTGGGGCGACAGAGCATCCACGACTCCAGCGGCCCCTGTTTTGGCTGCTGCTACTGCCTCTCCTGCTGCTGCTGCCGGGCCCAGCGGCCTCCCAGCTGCGATACTCGGTGCCGGAGGAGCAGGCACCGGGCGCGCTCGTGGGCAACGTGGCTAGCGCGCTGGGGCTCGAGCTGCGGCGCCTGGGGCCGGGCTGCCTGCGCATCAACCATCTGGGTGCGCCCAGCCCGCGCTACCTGGAGCTGGACCTCACAAGTGGAGCGCTCTTCGTCAACGAGCGCATTGATCGGGAGGCGCTGTGCGAGCAGCGGCCTCGCTGCCTGCTCAGCCTGGAAGTGCTGGCGCACAACCCCGTGGCGGTGAGCGCCGTTGAGGTGGAGGTACTGGACATCAACGACAACTCACCGCGCTTCCCGCGGCCCGACTACCAGCTTCAGGTAAGCGAATCGGTGGCGCCTGGAGCGCGCTTTCACATAGAGAGCGCGCAGGACCCCGACGTGGGCGCCAACTCGGTGCAGACTTACGAGCTCAGCCCCAGCGAGCATTTCCAGCTGGACCTTAAGCCCCTGCAGGAGAACAGTAAGGTGCTGGAGCTGGTGCTGCGGAAGGGCCTAGACCGGGAGCAAGCAGCTTTGCACCACCTGGTTCTCACAGCCGTAGATGGGGGTAGCCCAGCCCGCTCGGGTACGGCGCAGATCTCTGTGCGTGTCCTGGACACTAACGACAACTCTCCGGCCTTCGACCAGTCCACCTATCGCGTCCAGCTGCGAGAGGACGCGCCCCCAGGCACATTGGTGGTGAAGCTGAATGCCTCAGACCCAGACGAGGGATCCAATGGTGAGCTCAGGTACTCCTTGAGCAGCTACACGTCGGACCGGGAGAGGCAGCTTTTCAGCATCGACGCCAATACTGGGGAAGTGCGAGTAATTGGGGCACTGGATTATGAGGAGGCCTCCTCCTACCAGATCTATGTGCAGGCAACTGACCGGGGTCCAGTGCCCATGGCAGGTCACTGCAAGGTGCTGGTGGACATCGCGGACGTGAATGACAATGCACCAGAGGTGGTGCTCACAGACCTGTACAGTCCAGTGCCTGAGGATGCTGCACCCAACACAGTTGTGGCCCTTCTCAGCGTCAACGACCAAGACTCAGGCCCCAACCGGAAAGTGAGCCTGGGCCTGGAGTCCACACTGCCTTTCCGACTGAATGGCTTTGGAAACTCCTATACACTGGTGGTGAGTGGCCCACTGGACCGGGAGCGGGTGGCTGCCTACAATATCACAGTGACAGCCACTGATGGGGGAATGCCACAGCTCACATCCCAGCGGACACTTCGGGTTGAGATTTCAGACATCAACGACAATCCACCGAGATTCCTGAAGGACTCCTATTCCGTCTACATCCAGGAGAACAATTTGCCAGGGGTGTTGCTCTGCACTGTGCAAGCCACAGACCCAGATGAAAAGGAGAATGCAGAGGTGACTTACTCCCTCCTGGAGAGGGAGATTCAAGGGCTGCCAGTCACCTCCTATGTCTCCATTAACAGTGCCAGTGGCAGCCTTTATGCTGTCAACTCCTTTGACTATGAGAAGTTTCGGGAGTTCTTTGTGACGGTGGAGGCCCAGGACAAGGGGAGCCCACCACTGAGCAGCACTGTGACTGCCAACGTGTATGTGGTGGACACAAATGACCATGCCCCTCACATTCTATACCCTACCTCAACCAATTCATCAGCAGCCATTGAGATGGTGCCTCGAACTGCCCCTGCTGGCTACCTGGTCACCAAAGTTATAGCCATGGACTCAGACTCCGGGCAAAATGCTTGGCTCTTTTACCATCTAGCCCAGACTTCTGACCTGGACCTCTTTAAAGTAGAGCTGCACACAGGAGAAATTAGGACTACCAGGAAGTTGGGTGATGAGAGTGGTACCACTTTCAACCTGACTGTGGTGGTCCGAGATAATGGAGAGCCACCACTGTCAGCCTCTGTGGCCATTACAGTGGCTGTGGTGGATAGGGTTTCCAAAATCCTCCCTGACACTCAGAGACATGTTAAGAGCCCTCGGACATACTCTGAAATTACACTTTATCTAATAATAGCATTAAGCACAGTGTCTTTTATATTTCTTTTGACAATCATTGTTTTGAGCATCATCAAGTGCTACCGCTACACTGCATACGGCACTGCATGCTGTGGAGGCTTCTGCGGCGTGAGGGAGCGGAGCCCCGCAGAGCTGTACAAACAGGCCAACAACAATATCGACGCCAGGTTGCCGCATGGCCTCAAAGTGCAGCCTCACTTCATCGAAGTTCGAGGGAATGGCTCCCTCACCAAGACCTACTGCTACAAGGCCTGTCTGACAGCAGGCTCAGGGAGTGACACTTTCATGTTTTACAACACAGGGGCCCAGACAGGACCAGGGCCTGGGGGAGCCCAAGCAGCAGTGACTGACAGCAGGCACCTCACAGGCCAAAGTGGGCAGAGTGCTGGGAACCTGATTATTCTCAAAAACGAGGCTGTTTCTCAAAATGAGGTGAGATAGTGGTCAGGGGGTCTTCCACAAACTCCTGCGTTTTTCATATCTCCCCTCCCCAAATATCCTGTGGTTGGCTTTATTGAGTTAACAACAGTGATAGGGGCTATCTGCTAAACTGAGTATATATAGTACTTGTAATTTGATCATAATCTGCTGTGTTTCCTCTCAAGAAAAATAGCACTGGAGAATTGTTTTGCTTTCCATTTTCTTTTCAGATACATGAGGACTTGTCCGTAAAATTGTTTGAGAAGTGAGGATTAGTCTTAAATACTTGATGTTAAAGCACAGCTCTGTAGAGAACTAGAATAGGCCTGGAAATAAGGATTATGTTTTAGGAAGTAATGTTATAAGATTCAGGGAGAAATGGCCTCTGCTTGTATCATCTATGGGGAAAGTTTTCTTTTGAAATCCTATAGGAGTGATGTTTTTTAAAAAAGCTCTAAGACCTCTAGGGACTGTCATGGTCACCTCTGTATGCTATCTCTGTTTATACACTGGGCTATCTACAGTGCAAATTACCTAGTTAATAGTCCCAGTAATTGCACTCAATTTATTTGATAGGATCCTCTGGAAATTCATGTCAGAGGCGATAAAGCCATAGAATGTAGACCTCATTCTGAAGCTAAAGTTTGCTTTGGCTGTGTGATGTGGTACCTCTTCTGTAGGGGGCTGTCAGAGGAAATGAATGAGGGTAAGGCAGAAAGATTAATTTACCAATTTGTCTGGTTGGGCCAAGGAGATATTAGAATGAGTGGATTAGGGATGTGGGGAGAAGGTGAAGACCAGGACAATCTGGGATTGGGGAGGAAGAGAAGGAAAAGAGAATTCTCCCAGTAGCCACCTTTCTTGGCATACTCTGAATTCATTGTAAGAAGATTTCCCTGCATTTAGCTTAAATGCAGCCTGTAATCTTCTGATTTTCTGTTGACAGTTCCTGTGGTTTTAGTGAAATGTAGAGTAACATTTTCAAGCCCCTCATGTATTAAGTTAAATGACAATACTTCCAAAGCAAATGTTCATTTTCTGGACCTAAAATTTGGTTTGCAATAGCTGAATAAGGCTTGGAAAGTGGCTGGCTTACTATACAGTAAGGTGTGCAGACAGATGTTAGCATATGCACTAGTTTTGAGTTGTAAGTAGGCATAAGGCCAGCTTGTTCATTTCTATGAGGCTTATACATAAATTATTGGAAAGTGCATGAATGTGTGAGTGTGTTTGTGTGGTATGTTTGTTTCCATATGCATGCTTCAAATGATAGAGATCTGTTTTGCGATGCTTTAAATTTGGATTTCAAAAGCCAAAATTTTGTCCCGTAAACAGTGAGGATTGTTATTTTTCTAAACAACTACTTCGTAGCTAGGACTTTTGGAGCTTCTGCAAAATGAGGTAATAATATTTGTCCCCTATATTTTTGTGATGTATTTTCATTGACATATTGCTGTCTTTTCATTAATGTTCATATTGTCACATTCCAAGTTCATGGTAATCTTGAGAAAAGTAATGCACAAGTACAGAAGTTCCCATTCTTGATTGAGAATAGATTTTCTCATGGACATTGCAGATAGATTTATTCATTTATCAGGAGAGCCTGATGTTAGTCAATGTTTAGTAGCCACAGGAGACAGATTGCAGATTAAGAAAAATAGGGAGAGAGAATCAAAGAGTTTACAGATTCTTTAGATCTTAGCTTTTGAAAGCATATAAAAGGGTTTCAATTGAAATAAGGTCACTATAGACATTTGCTTAACAAATTCCTTTGGGATTGGGGTGGACTGCAGGTGGTGAGCATGGAGAGCTACCCAAGCCAGGCTCAGCTTTGCCACTGGCTGTGAGCTAGAAGCTCAGAGGAATGACACTATTTCACTCTTTCTCCTGCCTTGAAGCTTGGGGCAATTTGATACATAAACTATTTCTGTCTTACACTGACCTGTGTGTTAATGTGTACTTTGGTACACAAATCTTTACTATAGGGAGAAAATTATGTCTGAAACTGCTTGCTCTTGTGGGATTGCCAGGAAAGTGTATGATTTTAATAATGGCAAATTTCTGCCAGACACTTTTGGAAATCCAGTGAAGAGCTCCGAGATCCACAGCTCCTGAAATTATTGCAATTACAGGCAGAGAGTGAGTCACATTGTTGCAGTATGGCAAAATGCTAACAAAAGTCACTCAATTCTGAAAGTCATTATTACTAGATCAACCTGTTAAATTCCTGTGTCGGGTTTGCTTTTTTACCTACCTAGTAACTACAGATGGCAGGAGGGTCCTGGGGTACAATTAATGTTATGTACCTCCATTAAAATTAGATGGGAATTGGAGAGGAAGAGTAAGGGAATTTGTACTCACTGACCACGCTGCTACACAAAAGTGCTCTACTTTGCAATATATATGTGATTTCATTACCTGTAAGTCATGCATTAAACAAACATGTATTAACATCTGGCATATGAGGAAATAAGCTCAGAGAGGTTAGGTAACATATACTGTCACACTGCTAGTGGTATCTTAAGTCATGTCTGTTTGACTGCAAAAGCTGTGCTTTTTTTCAATAGTATAAGTAGATAGAAATCCCAATGTTTCTATTCCTTTTGATATGGGATATTCAGGCATTTAAGCTACCACTAGTTCACCTAGTAGTATAAATTAGTTGCTTTTGGGAAAAGAGCAATTCCTTGCATAGAAGCAGGTAACACATGGGAGGTTCAGTGAGTAAAAATGTTATTACCAAGCTAACATATTTTTGTTTATTTGCTTTACTATTGGCAAAGCCTGTTAAGATCTTTTATGTCTGTTCTTTCAATGATTTTTCTCTTGTTGCTTATTAAACATCAGCATTTAACACCAGACTCTAATCTTTGGGTGGATTTTTACCCCCAGTGGGCTTATTTCATGAGCCACTTGTGCAGTAAGGATTTTGAAGTAACTATTTGACAATGGGGCAGAATTTCTCTTCAGAGATTTCTGAAAACCTGTTATTAAATGTGGTTGGCACCCCCTTCAGAGTCCCCATGAAAAAAAACCAAATCTTAAGGTAGATTCTGTGTATTTGTAGTCCTGGTGCTGTGATTGCTAATGAGTCACTTTGAGTACTCTGGGCAGATTTGTCCAACAGCACCTTAGTGGTACCAAGTTGGCACAACATGTAGAAATTACAAAAGAGTAGCAGAGATGGGTTAAGTTTGCATTCACTCTCACTTGTTTTAAAGCAGTTTTTAGTCACCAAATCTTTAGTTATTTTTGCCACCATCTGTGCTTATTTACCCTAATTCCAGATATACTGACCTGAAAGAGTTAACCCTTCTTTCTGTGGCACTTAATTTATTTTCCCCAGGACTTAATTTTCTATCTGGCAACTCTATCCTGGAGCAGAGTTTACACTCAGCGTAAAGTCACATGGTGGCGAACTTATAAAAATTGCACAATGGTCAGAATAGACAAAGGAATTGTGCCTGTTAAGTTTCATTCCGTTGTTTCATCCTCTAATAGTCACTTTTTAGTGGGTGGGGCTGTTTTGTTTTGTAATTTTCATATTGGTTATAGGACTATTCTTCTGAGAAAAGGTTTATTTTCTTTGTTCTGATAATACAATAATTTCTTTAAATTACCTCCTTCCTCAGTTTTTCTACAGACTGCTGAGCCAGATGAAATTATGGCCGAACTCTTCTCTGTCTCTTTATCTTGTGCATATTCTGACTGATGAAGAAATCTATTTATTGTAGCTTGAATGTCATTGGCCTCCTCTTTCCTCTGACCCAGGAGTGAGCCATCACAAGGGCATCTGGTCTAACTCAGAGTGCTCTGCAGGGAAACAGCCTGGCATATTATACATTGTCTACTGGCATGTCATCTGCTCGATAGAATAGGAGAGTCAGTTCTGGGTACTTGCCTTGGTTGGCTACCAAGGTTTGCCCTCAGTGAGAGGTCAGAACAATGTCAGTTTGCAAATGTTTGAGGAAACATTCCTGTGACCAAGCCTGGAGGGTTAGCTGAATTTGATGGAGTTTTACAGGTGTCTTTGTTTGTGGCTTTTACAGGACTTTACCTGGATCAACATTTCTGTGCATAGTATAATACGAATACAAAGTTAGCTTATTCATATGACAATATGTGGAGCAGTATAATCTATAATCATGATTTTAAAAATCAAGGGTCAAGAAGATTCCTTAGCAGTGTTTTAAATCTGCTAACCTAAAAATTATACAAGGATTTTCCTTTCAAGAACTTGAACTTGACAAATGCGAAGAAATATCTGACATTGAAAGGGGAAGAGAAATCTTAGTTCTTTGATACATCAGCACCATCAGTTCCTTTCTGGCCTTGCAGGGTCAGAACTCTGGGCTTCAGGGAGGTGCAACTGGGAATGAGAGTACAGCTGCTGTGCTAGCAGGCTGTGCATCCAGAAGAAGCAGACTTAGCACTTTCCGTTGTACTGGAACCCATTAGGTATGTTCTAAAGTTATGTTTATTTTAATTTCCTGCTCCATGGATTAGGGTTCTAAATGACTGTTTTCAGAGGAAAGTATTCCATCCAGAATTATCAAATTTATCATCTTTTCATTTTGATTTACTAGAAGACCAATATTTAACATAACTGTTACTTTAAATGCTATATTTCTTTTTGCCTTAATGACCAACAGTCTGTGTGTTCCTTTTCTATTGCTTTGTAACAAACGACCACAAATTAGTGGTTAAAAACACCACGTATTCGTTATCTCACAGTTCTGCACCATATGGCTGAGTTGTCTGCTCAGGTATTCACAAGACTGAAATCAACATGTCCACTGGGCTGTGTTCTCTTTTGTAGGCTCTGGGGAGGAATCCACTTTCAAGCTCATTCAGATTGTTTGCAGAATTCAGTTCATTAGGGACTGAGATCTCTACTTTCTTACTTTTGGCTGAGGAGCACTCTCAGCTCCCAGAGGTTGCTCTCAGGTCCTATCCATGGCCAGCTTCATCTTCAGGCCTGGCACTGGAGCATCTTCACTCACATGGAATCCCTCTCATGCTTGAAAGCTCTCTGACTTCTGTCTCTGACCTCTAACCCCAGATTTAAAGGGCTCATGTGATTAGGTCAGTCCCACCCAGAGGATCTCCCTTTCTTCAAACACGTTGTGCTATATAACATAACATAATCATGGTAATAAATAAGGTCTATCACAATCATAGTCTTAGAGATGATGCAGGTGTGTATACCGGGGGGGGGGGTTTTGGGGGCCATCTTAGAATTCTGCCTACCACAGTTTAAATCAATGTTCACAAAATATCACTGTGAAAAATCTGCAGTCGATACATCCTTAATAGAGTCATATTAGGAAGGAAAAGGAGATATTACATGTGCTGGGTCATATGTCCCAGGGGACAGTTTATGGATGGCTTCAATGCAGATTTGCATGGTAAGAAGACAGCATATTATTTCACTGAGTCATGTGAGTTTATGAATAACATAGGGTATTTTTAACCTGTTTTACTTTAAATCTGTCTTATAAGAGGTGATTCACTCTCTGTAGCTCAAATATTCTATAGTAGAAATAATAAATAATATCATAACAGGACAAATTAAATGTTTGCTATAATTTTAATAGAAACTCAAGTGAGTCTTTGTTCTTTAATAATACTAAGTCACCCATATGGATGATCTAATTGAGTTTTCCACATCTGCAGTTTTCAACTATTATTCTACCAAAAGACTAAGTGTTGGAGCAACAGGACATATTGGGGTTCTTCACCAGTTGAATTTAAGCATCGTCCTGGGATGTACCATTCAAGTATTAGAGAGCTAAACAATCATGGTTTCTTCAAGGCCTTAATATATGTCTCACTGTGTCTGATATATCAGTAGTCATTCTTTCAACTTGAACTTTTTCAAGTTTAATCAAATTCTAGGTGAAACTCATGTACTTTTTATTACCTTTAATTTTGTATTATTTTAAAATAAATCAATATCTGGGAAACTCAGAAGTAAAAAAGAAAAAAATATTTTGTCTTTCCATATAAATGTATTTAAAATACAGACTTTTGCTTTGGAGGACCTAAAAATGACTATCAGCCAAACTCATCAATCAAGCAAGTAATGTTAATTTCTCTCTAAAGTACGGTTTCTCATTTTTATAATTAAGTACAATAATGTTGACCTTGCGTGATAGTTCATTTATTTAAAAACATTTTAAAAATCTATCAGATAACCAGATCCCTGCCGGGCTCTGAGGATATAGCTATGCATTTATGAATATCTGAGGATATTCATATGTCCTATGAGCAAAACAGATACAATCCCTTTCACGGAGTTTGCGGTCCGACAAAGAAATAAAGTATCAGAATAAATGCAATAGTATGTATAAAGTGCTTGTCCCATTGTCTAGTCTTGTGTGGCTACTTAAAACACATTAATTGCTTTCTTCCTTTTCTTCTCCCTGCCTGATATTACTGCCATAAGAAATCTCATAACTATGTTACTGGCAAATGAATTTGAGAAGCATGTTGTTGCTGATGGACTATTATAGAAAATAGCAGCATGTGAAATTAAACATGTCACTGAGGAAGTGAGATTGTGTAATGAACTGAGTTTCCTGGTCAGTCCTGCTAGAATCGTGCCTTTCAGCAAAACGAGTTTGGTGGTTTCATTCCAAAGATCAAGTTACAGCAATTTTCATCATGAATGTTACCCAATCATAGCAAAATTGGCAACGTTTACTTAACAGATGTTAGAGTCTTTCTTGAAGGAAGATTCTCTCAGCTGACGAGCTAACACTAGTGCTGCTGATGGCAAGGCGAGAGAGAGATGGTGATGATGATGATGATGATTAATAAAAAGTATTTCAGTCACATTTCCAGGTTTATAAAATGATTTGAAAATATTTTCTCTTGTGTTCCCTCTAACACCACTGGTGGAAAATGGGAACTCCTTTCATTTGGTCTATAGATAGTTTTATGCTGCTTTGTATGGAATATCCATAACATTTTGTGGACTTGAAAACCAAAAATAAAGTAGCTTGCATATTCATATCTTTCCAGTGATGTGGAAGAAGACAAGAGAGGGCAGTTAGTGTGTGTGGGGGGCCTTTGAAGTATCTCAGAGTTATAGCTTTTCCTGGGCCTTGACTTTGGCTGAATATCTGAATACCAAATAGCCATCCCCAAATCTGTCTGAAAGTTGGGATGCTGATCACATCTCCCCTGGATGTTTTGAAGAAGTGTGTCTATGAAATACTTTGCATTCCTTGAGTAAATTATATGAAAGATAGGAACAAGAATTATTGACACTTTAGAATAGTCTATTGGAATTACTGTGGTTTTGTGTCTATCAAATATGGTAATTATAATACAGAGGAAAATACAAAATACAACTTTTATCCCCAATCTTTCCACTCAACTAGACCTTAATATTAAGTGACAGGGTGACTTTAATCTCCACCCATGAAAATCATTTAAAGGAATGTCTTATCACATGTTTTTCATAGTAACATTTTTTTCTAATTGATACAAGATGGTGATGGTAACTGATTTTGTTCCCAGTGCTTCCTGAGTTGCTTCTGACCAGCACATACCTCCCCAGTCTTTAGATGCCCATATTTTCCTCTTTGTCCCCTCCACTTTGGACTGACAGTTTGTAGACAGAGGGCAAAAAGATCTTTTCACTACACAGGTGGTGCAGAATGAGTCAGGTTATTCTTGGATTTCAGCTACTCCCTCCTAAGCAATCAGAGCTTAGTAAACAGTGATTGAGTGAGGAGGCAAAGCACTCAGAGAGAAGCAGGAATAAGTACAAATTTATGAAGAGGCTTAGATAGCAGAACAAGGTCGAACCCTGCAGTGGTTTGTTTTCCTCTCCCTAGTATTCCTCTTCAATCAGTAGAAGAGGCTGTTATCAGTTGCTGGTGTTATGACTGGGCACATCCGCCCAGGGTCACGTTTGCTGCAGTCTGCAAAGCCAGCAGCAGATTGCAGTCTCTGCAGTCCAGCCAGGCCAGCAGAACTTGTATAGTCGTATGCCTCGTTACAGCTGGAATACCAAGTCAGGAATATTCCCTTAATAGGGCACTTGAGGGCAAAAGCAATGAAAGCTTTTCTCATCTCGAAACAGACTGCCTTTCCCCTAGTGTTTTAAGAAAACATATCTGTATTGGGCAAGGCAAAGCCAAAGCTGGCCCTTACAACATCATTAAGTCTGCTTTTCCATGGTATTTAATCTGTGTGAGGATTCTGATGAGCTGATTTTCTTCTAAAGTGCTATACAGATAGACAGATATCTTAGAGTTGAGGATGAAATGTCTCATTCAGTACCTTTTTTAAATGCCTGGAAATATTTAAGTGAATAACTAATCAATTAACAGCGTCCCTGGGGGAACATTGCTTTTTCATTTTAACAGAAAACTCCCCTTTTGATTTTGCAGCCACGACAGCCCAACCCTGACTGGCGTTACTCTGCCTCCCTGCGAGCAGGCATGCACAGGTACGTATTTCCTTCCTTCCTTCGCTCGGAAGTAACTAATGTGGTGTGGCTCAGATAAACTGTGTCTCCATAGGCCAGAAGCAGCTGTCAAAACTGAGAAGTTTAGACACTTTGCCAGGAAAATGCAATTATTTTGTTTTCATGTCTATTCCTTAAAACACTGGAAGTGGTCAGTGCCAAATGCTTATCAAGTACTGGCAAATAAGAATCTTCCATAAGATCACAGAGACAGGCTGCTGTGTACTTTCTCTCATTAAAATTTCTACAGGAAAGTAATTCGAACCTCTTTCATCCCTCTCTACCTATACTTTCTGTCCCTTCCTTAAAAATTGTAATTAACACTGATGATTTGAGACTTGGGTACGTTGTGCATTGTATATGCACATGTTGTCTACCTTGTTTTTCTATCTCACATTGAGTATTACATCCTATTAACCATAATAATTGGTTATGAAATATTCTTGTTCATATTCACTCCTGTTAGAGTCTCCATATCTTCTCCATATTGTTGCTATCTTATTGTCATCAGTGGCTTGGGCTCCTCAGAGGATAAGCTTGCGAAGGGCCTTTATTGGATATCTGGAGACAGATATCCTATATAGCTTACTTTAAATTAACCTAGAATAGCATTACTCTAAGACTCAGATTAAATATAATTTTGCTTTCTCTACTTTGTTTTTTTGAAAGTTGATTAACTATCATTATTCCCAGAGCTGATCCAGTATCCATACCATGAGGCCAAATAAAAGATTCATTATTTGTGAGTTTTTTTAGAACCAAATGGGGAGGGATAAGAAATGAATATCACTAATACCAAAAGGATTTAACTTTAGAGAATAAATAAACTTCAAACTTAAGTCCCTCAAAATATCTGGGCAACTGTTAAGTGAATCTTCACCAACCCTAGATCAGTTTCTAAAGAGAGAGCTTACGCAGTATGTGTAGAGTTAATGAAAAATTAGTTTTAGCCCATTAAAAATGTAGTAGATTAAAATAAATGAACACACCCTCAAGCATTACAAATGTGCAGAAATCATTACATTGGGTGCTATTTCTGAACCAGAAGCAATCAGTGACGGCTGAAGATCAGTAGTTGGCTTGGTGAGATGTCACATTGAAACCTGGATCATAATTTTAGGCCATAAACACTCTTGGAGATGTCAGAATATTAGATATCAGAAGGAATTCTTTACATTTATTGGAGACCAACTTATGCTTTTGCTTGCATCTGAGCTATTGGCAGAGCCACACAATAAGTAAAAGCATGATGTGCACTATCAACTCTTTCTCTCCCAACTGAATAGTGCTTTGCTTGAAAAGTACCAAAGCTATGAGATATATCTTAAAAACTACATTTAAAATAAAATATTAAAACATATCACTTCCTTGTCCCATTTTCAAATTTAAAAAAAGCTAAATGTGCTCCTATTCAGGTTTTAATTAAGATGTTATGAGATTTAAATATGATAAGAAATGAAATGAAAATTGAAACTAAAATGCCATTTCTTGCTTGCAGTGTAATATAGTGAACATATATTAGAGTTTTCAGCTTGAATAAGACTCATCTTTTTCATACCTGTGCTTAGCTTCCTGGCCTTTCCAGCCTCAGACAACATTGAAAAGTCTGCTTTGAGCTGAGCTGGTTCCAGGATAGGATCCAGGAACACCTGAATCCTATACCTAATTGATTAGTTATTAATATTTATATTAATACATATAATATTAATATAAGATGTATTTATATTATTATATAATGTTAATATAAATATTAATTACATAAATTAATATTTTGAAAAAGAGAAGATTTTAGAGCGTAGATGAAGGGAAGAATAGCAATAGGTCAGAGTTTAATGAGAGAGTTTCCATTAGATACATTGTTTGAAGTCAAACAGTAAGAGAATATCGAAATTATAGATCACCTTCCACCCCAATAGTTTAAGTTTGCCTACTCTGTTGCCTCACATAACCCTTTCAGTTGGTAGTCTGAATTTTATTTTAGTAAATTAATTTTCAAGATAAACAAATATCTAGTTTTAAAAGCTCCTTTAATTTTGGCAAGGGTTTTCTTGGATATTTTCTCTTAAGATCTCGCTGAGTCCTTCCTTCATTCATCTAACAAATATTTGAGGGCCTGATATGTGTTAGCATTAGACATACATAAATGAATACTGTACAATGTTCTCTCTACTCTGGAATAGTTTATGTTCTATCTCTGTTTGTCTCTAAGGGTCTCCCGGTTTGTATCTCACTCCCAGCAATGTTTTATAGTGAATTAATGCCTTCTGAACTGGGATCTGTGAGTGGTGGTGATCAGGTTCCTTTAGTCCCAGGAAACGTAGGGTGGGTCGTGTATGTGTAAAAGACACAGAAAGAATAAAACAGAAAATAAGATTAAGAATTAATTGGGTAGCTAAACTGGAACAATACTCTAATTATCAGAAAATAATTTTAGTGTGGTTTCCTCTTTATGATGGAGAACCCAGAAGTAAGAGAACCTGCAGGAGAGGCTTGGGGCTTTTGAGAACAAGCTGTTCTCATCTGCTTCAGCATTATGATATTAAAATGGCTCAGCCCTCTGGTGGTCTTTCTGTTAGATTTAGTGAGCGCCACATGGCATTAATGAAAACCAAAATTTATCGCTGGAATGGTTTAGCAGGCAGTAAGTAAGTCAGTGATACTTCTTCAGTTTATGCGAGGTGACTACTCAGCAGTAATTGCTTCAGTTCATGCATAAGCAGAATGTGTTAGCTGTAGCCCTGCCTCCATAATGTAAGCAGTTTCTGAGGGTGGAAGGAAAGCTGGAGAAGCATTTATGGTCTAACCATTATCTGGGTCTGTGTGTTTACTTAGCTCTGTGCACCTGGAGGAGGCTGGCATTCTACGGGCTGGTCCAGGAGGGCCTGATCAGCAGTGGCCGACAGTATCCAGTGCGACACCAGGTAAAGTGCCGGAGTCTTTCTGTTCTTCCTTGGGTTCTGGAAAGTGATCAGATGACCTATTTTTGTAAGACCAGGAATGTTGATGGCTCTCTTTTTATTCTTCCTTTGTTTCCATACATGCATGATTTCCTTACATTCATGATTATTTTGAATTTATACTTAATGTTCTTCAAGAGTGGAAAACAGGTAACGTAAATATAAGGGGCTGTGGGTGTGTGTGTTTAAAGTTTTTAAAAAAATAATCTGGTACTTTTCAAATGTTGAGGCCATTCAAGCCACACAGAGAAGATCTGGTAGCCTCATGCACAGAGATGACACTGTTCACAAAAATCTTTTGGTTGAAGACAATAGAAACCCACTCCAAGCAGTAAGCAAAAGGAGAAAGATAGGTAGGTAGGTAGGTAGGTAGATAGATAGATAGATAAATGGAATAGGGTTTCTCATGGAAGTGGAAAGTTATCAGAACCAAGGCGTTGCTCTCTGTGAGTTCAAGTCAAAGTCAGGTCTGCTTCTCTCTGCACACTGACATCATTCTGCAGACCGACTTTTACTGTGTTGGCATGCACATTGCCAAACATGACTACCTGACGATTTCTTGGTTTAGAGGACTAATGGGGATCAATTCCTAATCTAAACTTTCAGGAAAGAGAATATGCCAGGTTAGGCAAAAAATGCAAAGGCTGGGTGAGCATAGAAAAATTGCTTAAATTCACATTTCCTTAGTTTCCTTATTCTTGCTCAATTACTAAAGCAGTGTCATATAATAAAAATATGGGTTTGGAGGCCCATCCTTGTGACAGTTTACAGAAAAGGAGGATCAATGAATCAATGAAAGCCCTTAGAGTTGCCATCAAAAATGGGTTGTCAAAAAATGGCTCTTATGTGTTGGTAGGGGTCATAAATGGTGTCTACTTTAATTCTCTATTAATAAAACATGATGATGATGATAGTAGTTACTAATTATCGAGCCATAATAGGCCCAGACACTGTGCCAAGTACATTACCTGTGTGGTCTCATTAATTCAAGACAATCTCACAAAGGATTTTTAATGTCTGTTTTACATATGAGAAACTAGAGACACAGAGAGGTTAAGAAACTTACTCAAGTTCACACAGTTTGTAAGTGGCAGAGGGCAGGATTAAGCCAAATGTGTCCAGCTGTAAATCCATGTGTATCTAGCACTTATATCCATAGCATGGCTGGCTTGCAGGAATCCATCCAAATTCAAATGCATGCATACATACACACATAATAGATAACATAGAATGTGCGTGTAAAAGTTCTTTCCAAAAATAATCAGGTGCCTTTCCAATCATTAGGCTATCCAAGTAAAGTGCAGCTAAGTGCCTGTTTTTGCTGGCAACTCTAAGGGCTTTCATTGATTCCAATCAGCCAGCATTTGCTATTTATAAATGTTGCACAATTCAACTAAAAGTCACATTTGTCAAAAAAATACACAAGTTGAAGCAATTCATTAGAGAGCTAATATTGCCATATGGCAAGGGGAAGAACATAAAATAGTTCATTGACAAATCTACGCCCCCAATGCCAATGATGGAGTGAAGAAGTGATGGAGGAGGAAGTGGTTTTAGACTGCCAAGTATTGTAGGATGAGGAGGCATCTGGGAAGGTGGGAACTATTTATCCAAGTAGCCACATGAAATCATGCCTTTCTACCCTGCCTTCATTTCAGAGTTCTTCTTGTTCCCATTGAGGCATCGTAGGTCAATCTGGTGAGCCAAGAACTAACTTTGAATATTCTCCCTCCCATTGAAGGTGCTGGTTGGTGTGTATTCCTAGGCAAATGTGAAATGGGAACCATCTATTGATTATTTCATCCATCTGGTCCAGGTCTCTCCTTTGGATTCAAAAAATGTTAGGAACCCATCTCTTTGATAGAGATAGGGAAGGGGTCTCCATTGATCCCCTCCTTTATAGTCCCAACCCCTCCTGTGTGATTGCTTTCGTCCAGGACTGTGCCTGGCTGCTGACACATGAGTTGCAGTCCTCATGGGCTGTGCTGGATAGAGCTTATATCTTCCAGTTACTCCTTGGTGACATAACCATGCTTGTCACCATACCTCCACATCAGTGATATGAAGTTGAAGGGATTCTCCTCTGCCTTCTGCCCTATCCTTTTGGTACTTTTAGGTTTTAGGACTCAATATATGTTCTGCACTGTTTGGAGAGATTATGGCATAAAGATTAAAATTATGATTTGGAGTCAGATCTGAGTTGAATTCCAATCTCAAACTTATCTGTTGAATGAGCATAGACAAATTGCCTAAATTCATATGTTCTTAATTAGCCTTTTTATAAATTGAGTGTAATAATAATACCACCTATTTTATTGAGTTGCCAGGAGAACTAAAAGAGAAAAAAAGAGCTGAATATAGTGCTTGACATACAGTATTAATAAATGTATAATCTTTTTTCTCCTTTTTTTTCTGGGATACTTTTGTTTTGTACAATCAATGATAATGGCCTTGGCTGATAGTTGGTGGCCAGAATTCAGTAGTTCTCATTTGTAGGCCCAAACACAGATCCTCTGAGGTCGTCTGGATCATCCTGACTTCTGTACAGTTTAGTCACTCCCGAACACCCTCTTGGAGATGGAGTGAGGCAGATTTATTCATTGCTGCCTGAGGAAAAGGAAAACACTGGAAAACTTGGTTGTTTCCAGTCCCAAATAAAGCCTGCCTTTCATTGATTCTGTTGCCCTTAGTGCTTCACGGTGAAGGTGCAGTTGCTTCCAAAAAGGCTTCTTTCTGGTGCCTGAGTCTCTTGCTACCTGTGTCTGAGCCCTTCTCACAAACCAGCCATTTATTGCTCCTCTGACACCAATACCTGCAACAGCCAGGGGCCTAAGGGGAGGGGCCTGCTTTGCACGGATCTTCATTGACATGTGTTTCTTGACGTTGTTTTTCCTCCATTGATGAGTTCTTTCCTTTTGTTACTAAACCTTTCATTTATGATCACAGTCTGCAAAAGCCTCGAATAAAGATGCCACACTCCGAAGGGAACAATGGGGGCATGACCAAGTGATGTTTTCTGCAAGATAAACAAGTCAGGCATTAAATTGGTTAATCCTAATTACTGGCCCCTTTCTCCAGCTTCACCTCTGTTTCAGCAGACCTGGGCCATGGGCTTTCTTATTTCTTTTTAGCTTCGCTTGAGACTAAGCAGAGAGAGAAAATTAGCTAAACAGAGAATGCACGGAATACAGTTACAGCCTATTCTTCAGAGGGAGGCATGTGTTTTGGGGGGAGGGGCATTAAAGGGCCAGTCACTCATGTAACAACTCTTTAACTTTCTCAGTGTGAATGCCCTGAAGAGGTTTTAATGGATGCCCTCTTGTGAGCAGTTCCTAGAGGGAATCTCTCAAGAGGTTATAAAGAGACTGCCCTGGCCTATGAGGGAACTAATCTGGCTTCAGTGGGCCGGGCTGCTTTGCTGTCTCCTACTGGTTCTTCCAGGCTTCTCTTTCTACATTTCATACGCTCTCAGGACTTACCGAAGGCAAAAGTAAATTATTTTTAGAGTGGGAGATACTCAGTGTTTTCAAAAGAGCTGCAGAGAATTCCAAAATGTAGCACTGCTAAAGATAACATTATAGCTTGTCAAACAAGACCCCAGGGGATCTGGGACTAAACAGTGACAGATTAATTAGGTAGGGGAAGCCACTAAGGCAATGAGGCTTAGTTAGAGAACCTTAGTTTAGAGTGACCAGACGGTGGTTCTTAAAGTATAGTTCCTGGAGCAGCAGCACCAACAATACCTGCAAACTTGTCAGAGATGCAAATTCTCAGGCCCCTACCCTAGACTTACCAAATCAGAAATTCTTAGGATGGGGCCCAGCAATCTGTGTTTTAACAAGCCTGCTATGTTATCCTGATGTACCCTAAAGGTCAAGAATTGCTTTAGGGTTAATATTCCTGAGGTTGTCTGATATCTTTAGAGGCATGCAAGGAAGGCATCTGTTTATATGATTCTTGTAAGAAATAGGCAGTCTTTCCCCATACCAGAGAGATAACTGTTAAGAGCTCAAGCTCAGGAGTCAGTGACCCTTTTTTGAATTCTACCCCTGCCACTCTGTAGTTGTATATTCCTGGGACCATTACTCAACTTTTCTGATTCTGAGTTTCTTTCTCTATAAAATGGAGATAATAGTGGTGTCTACCTTATAATGTTGTTACAGGAATTAAATGAGGTAATGCACACATATTAAAGAGACTGCAGAACAATAAGTGTTTATTAAGTGGTAGCTATTTATTATGATTTTTCCAAGATATGAGTCTATCCATCAGCTTTACAATTTAGACCTACGTTGTTCTGAGTAGTCTCTGTGGGAAGACTCTGTTATAGAAAAGATTTTTTTAAAGTGCCTATCTCTTTATTTCCTTAGGGGATACTTTTGCCCTGGTTTGCCACATCCTTTTACTCTGTGGAAAATGGACACGGTTTATGTGCCCTAGTTTTATATGGGGATTTGTATTCTTATTTGTCTTAGGGATTCCTGCCTTTGTGACCAAACCAATCTCCTACAGAGAGACTCTGTGGAGACTCCATCTCTGATTCTTTCCCAGAAAGAAATCATGATTCTTAAGTTTTTTGGAATCTATTTAGGAGCATTGTCGACATGAATTTTTCCATTTAATGAGTGAGTGACGCCTCAGGCCTTATTGGAGAATTTAGAAAGCATGCTGTTCCACTAACCTGCTCAACCTCAACTTCTGCTGTTGCCATGGCAATGACAGTCCTGGGAGGTGTGTGCATATCCTTATTGGGAAAAAAAAATGAGATCAGGGATCTATGTGAGTGGGGCATCTACTTCCCGTCAGTATCCTCCACTCTCACCTTCTGTCTGATGGCCCAGGAGTGCCAGCTTGGCTTAGCGTTCTCTACCTGAGGAAAGTAAGTCCTCATAAGATGTATTTTCACTTTCTGGGGGTGTGAAGCTCATTATGTTTGCTGGAGTTCTCTTTGTAGTTTATGATAT